GGGTTTTTTCAGTATATTGAAATAGGTTTCAAGAAATGAGGGCTGCTTATTTTTTTTTATTTTAATTATGTATCTTTCAACATTTGCCTTTAAATAATCATTTTGTGCTGATTGTTAGTTTCTTCAAGCACGGTTTATAGTGGAAAAGTAAGATATATATTTAATGAGTAAATAAATAATTTGCATATTCCATGGTTCCCTTCTCCCACCAGAGTTTTCTCCTCAAGCACTCTTAGTGACCTTCAAATACAGTTTTGGAAATACTTCAGTTAAAGCCCTCCTGTCATGTGTGAAAGATCAGTTCCATACATGAAGTTCTAATTAAAGTGATGTTTAGTAATCATGCTTATGCATAGGAATCTACTCAACTAACAGTAGCACTATCTTGGTGCTAGATAAGGGTGAATGGAATTCAAGAGAGGTTGGACTTAGTCTGCTTGTGGCTATATAGAGACTGTAGGCTGATTCCTCTTTTGACTCCATCCCAGGTTCTGCCACTCCTTCTCCTACACTTCCTAAGCAATTTGGAATATGTGAAATTGTGAATATTAATTGAGGATAGGGATCACAGCCCCAGCCCCATTCTCTATTCTCTCCATTTTCCAAGTGCTAATCCTAAGGAGAGTTACAAACACATAGCCAACTCTTTACAATGTGAAATCCTAATGAAGTAGATCCAATGATGTGAAGAACAAACTGGGAATATCAGATGTTATCAGGACATTGGGTGTTAAAGAATGGAAGTCAAGGTAGCACAATATCTTCTGTGTGTTGTCCTGAAAAGTTCAGCTTCTTTATTTTACTTGCTTTCAAAGAAATGGTTTAATCAACAAACACAAACTACAATACTATTATTACTCTTTTGATTTCTATGGAACTTTCACATGCTAATACCTTTTGCCCCTTTAAATTTTTTCTTGTTACCAAGTTCCTTTTTGATGATATTGTTGAACAGCAGTAAATTAAATGTTTTTTTTAAACAAATAAGCAAAATTCATAGAGTACATCTATTACCCATTATAATAATATGGATAGTCACTTAATATACAATATATTTATCTATAAAACATAAAATAAAACATAGAATAACAAAACCAAGAAGTGGTTACCCAGTGGAAAGGCTTGCCTTCAGAGGTTATGGATATTCCACCACTGGAAGCTTTTAAGAAGAGATTGGACAATCATTTGTCTGAAATGGTATAGATCAGGGGGGTCAAACTCACCACGTCACGTGATGTGTCGCAACATATCACGACTTTTTTTTCCATTGCCGGAACTGGGGTGAGCACGGTTTCGGCATGACGCATCTGGCCCGCCGGCCGGCAGTTTGACACCCCTGGTATAGAGTCTCCTGCTTGAGCAGGGGGTTGGGCTAGAAGACCTGCAAGGTCCCTTCCAACTTCATTATTCTGTTAAATTCTGTTAAGTGCCACAACCAAATGTCTTTGGCAAGAGCTCAGTCTTCAACATCTTCCAGAAGGTGGTTATGATATAGGCAGATCTATTGAATATGGTTGCCCAGTAGAGAAAATTTGGGGAGGCTTTCAAACTCCAACTAACCTAACTAATCTAACAGTTGGGAGACCCTTGTAAAGGGTTGATCTCACCACAATGAAACAATGCTTCTGAGCATTGCCCCTTAAATTCCTGAAAATGGGGAACAATTGGATACTTTTCTCTGCAGGATTGATCTCTGTAGGTTCTTGCTGATGTCCACCTTCTTGTATGTAGAGCAGGGGTGTCAAACTGGCGGCCCATGGGTTGGATGCATCACGGGCACCCCGTCTCCACACAGGCAAAAACGTCGTGATACGTCACGATACGTCACGTGACCCGGTCGAGTTTGACACCCGTGAGGTAGATTATTATATAATACAGGAAAAATTAATAAAAACGTTAAAGGTGTATAAAACACTTTGCGTACAAACTTATATATACAACTAAATAATGTATAAATATTGCAGAGAAAGTCCAAGAGTCAAAGCAGCACTTAATATGTGTAAGCATGCTAGAAATAATGCCTTGTTAATAATAATTTCCCCTATGATTTCCAAGTGATAGCCAGCAGTGATAAATTTGAAAAATTACAATAGCATATTGTATGCTTTAAAAACCATTGCTGTGACATTATAAGTAACGTCCATTGCATACTAGATTTTGGAGACTAAGCCAGACCAAAACTTTTTATGGTTTTATTAAATAACTGTTTAAAGGGAATAAATAGGATAGAAGAAGTCTGAGCAAAGGATTTCTCTGTAACTGGCAGAACAGGGCATGATATGTGTGGGATGAAGTGTTAAAAGGTACAGGGTCACAGCTGTACCAAAGTCAAAATATTTAAGTGGTCCAATAAATAAACTGGTAAATTGATTTAAATGTGAAAAGGTGCTAAAGGAGTAAATTAGTAAATGTCAATCTGCAGGGAGGAGAGAAATGTGCTTTTGAGATAATTTCCCAGAAGCTTCATAAAAGGGAGTTGATTGCAGTGATTTAATAAATAAAAAAACCCAAAAATATATAATAATCAAAAGATTTTTAAAATTATATCTCGGGCTGTTATAAAGTCCAAATTATGTATTTTGTATCTAGAAAACCCTGAGATTAATACTTTAGTAGCCAATTTATTTTTAAAGGCTAATTTCTACAAGATGTATAGTAGAATACTTAATTAAAATACACAAATAGAGTTTAAATATCAAAAGAGCCTCTGAATAAGGACATTTTATGCCTTGCACATAAAATCTACCCTTTTGAGGTATTTCTAACCCAAATGCCACCTGATTCAACTGTATATCAAATGGTATTTTAATAATGTTACATCATTATCTTTCTACTGTTCTATACAATTAATTTCTTGTAGTGTACTTATAACTGAAAATCAACTATCTCCTTCATTTTTTTGAATTCACTTTTAATAACCAAGAGTAATAATGATGTTGGGTTAACTGACCATTATGTCTTACAGTTATAATTTATATACAAATATACTTCACTAGAAATAGGCTAACATGCTAATTAATCAATCATATAA